TAAATGAGATGTTAAAGCTATTGGTCTATAATTATTCGGACTGATAGGATCTTTTCCTGGTTTATTGAACGGCAGTATTGTTGCCCTTTTCCAGTTATTTGGTATTAAACCTTCTTTCCATATTTTATTAAACAGTTTTAATATTAATTTCAATGTTACTTCCGTAATCTGTCGAAACATAGCATAGCATAATTGATCCTCCCCTGGAGCTGAATAACCTGTCCCTTTCAATACTGTTTTAAGTTCTTTCATGGTTATTTCCATGTCTAATGTTGTCATATATTTTTTACATTTCTCCAAAATATTTTTATGCTTTCCAAGTTTTTGAGTGTTCTGCTGTCTATGAATGTCTGTAAGATGTTCGCCACTATGAACTGCAGCAAATGTCTCACCTAATAAATCTGCCTTATCTTTATTTAACACCAATATCTCCTGACCTCTGATTAAGGTTGGTATTTTATCATCATTCCTTTTCCCAGTCATTTTCCTAAACATTGACCAAACGTTTTGTCATTTTATTTCTGAACCTATTGAAGAACAATATTCTCTCCATGTTTTCTTTTTTGCGTCCTTAATAGTTTTACGAGCTGTTGCTCTTTTCCTTTTATATTCAATAAGATTTTCCGTTGTTAAATTTTTCTGTAATATTTTAAATGCCTTGTTACGTTCTTTAACTGCTGTAGTACATTCATCGTTCCACCAAGGAACTACTTTTTTCTTACCTTTTATTTTTATTTTTGGTATGCTAGAATTGGCAGCATTTAAAATATGTTCTGTTATTTGACTTGTACATTCTTCAATGTTGCCTTTTAATGTTACCATGTGTCTGGTTTCCTCACAGTTTGTTTTAAATGTTTGCCAGTTAGCTTTATTAAAGCACCATTTTGTTAAAATAAAATCTTTTTGCCTGTTTATACTCTCATTAATTATTGTACTCACTGGAAAGTGATCGCTCCCTAATGTAGACTCCCATTTGACATCCCATTCACATGAACTAACAAGACAATTGGATATTAATGTAATATCAAGACATGAGGCTGTATTTTTATGTATATTTACTCTTGTACCTTTTCCATTATTAAGACATACTAATGATCTTTCATCCATTATTTCTTCAATTATGTTACCATTATGATCTGTCTTCTTGCTACCCCAAAGACTATTGTGGGCATTAAAATCACCACACCATAGTTCTCTTCTATGTGGTCTCCCTGCTATTTCTTTAAACATTTCACTATCAAGGTGTTTGCATGGATTATAATAATTTATTATTTTCATATTTTCTTAAATTAAATATTTCTATATTAACACATTCTAATTCTTTATTCATTGGGTTTTTCTTATATGCTATTCCATCTTTAATTAGAGTGGCACATCCTCCTCCACTACCATTCCTTCTATCCTGTCTTTCTATGCTGTATCCGGGTATCTTAAAATCCAGCTGAGGTTTTAACCATGTTTCCTGAACACATATTATATCTGGGATTATTTCTAATTCATAAACAAACTTTTTAAATTCTTGTCCATTGGCTATTAGACTTCTGGCATTCCAGTGAAGAATATGTAAGACCATAATAAAAGCTTGGATCCTAATCTTGAGCATTTTCTGTTGTTTCTGTGGTGCTCAGAATGGTATGAATCTGATCTGCTTGGATTTCTTTCATGTCTAAAAATCTTCCTGCTGCTGTTACTATTGCTTTTATTTTATCACTTTTCTTTTTCAGAGTCAGAGTCAGAGTCAGAGTTTCTTTATTGTCATTCGCACCTCATGTGGTACATGTGGTGGAGCGAAATTATGTACACAGGGTCCCAGTTACATCCAACAATAAAATGTATAAGAAAAACAGTAATAACATCTAAGATATGAACTAAGAAAAACATCAACTAAATATACACTAAGCACTCATAACATAAAACATTGAACATCAGCACAAACATGAACATGAGTCTGTGAGCAGATGTGCACGCATGAACGCATCAACATTGAAACAGATCAGCAGCAACATGAAACAGATCAGCAGCAACATGATATGGTTTTTCACAGTGATTATTCTAGTTAGAGATTCATGAGTCTAACAGCCTCAGGGTAGAAGCTGTTCCTCAGTCTAGTGGTTCTACACTTAATGCTCCTTAACCTCCTTCCTGAGGGGAGTGGGGCAAAAAGTGTGTGTGCTGGGTGGGTGGGGTCCTTCATGATGCAGGTGGCCCTCTTCCTGCATCTGGAGGTGTAGATGTCTGTGATGGTGGGGAGACTGATTCCAACAGATTTCTGTGCAGCCTTCACCACTCTCTGCAAAGCTTTTCTTTCTGCAGCTGTGCAGCCTCCATGCCACACATTGATGCTCGAGCACAGGATGCTCTCCACTGCACACCTGTAGAAGGAGGTGAGGACTGAGCTTCCCAGACCAGCTCGCCTCAGCCGTCTGAGGAAGTAGAGTCTCTGATGAGCTTTCTTGATCAGGCTGGTGGTGTTGTTGCTCCAGCTGAGGTTGTCATTCATGTGTACACCCAAGTACTTGTAGCTGGAGACCACTTCCACCGCAGATCCTCTTATGTTCAGGGGGGTGTAGGTGTTTTTGTTCCTTCTGAAGTCCACAATCATCTCCTTTGTCTTCTTCACATTGATGTGAAGGTTATTCTCTCTGCACCAGCTCTCCAGGTGTTCCACCTCCTGCCTGTAGCTGGACTCATCATTGTTTGTGATGCATCCCACCACCGCTGTATGTTTTCATTTGAACTGTAACATTAACAATATGGCACATAAAAGCTACAAAGTTTTCTTTTTTCACCACCATTGTATTTTCATCTACTCTACATTTAAGCAAACCTGCATTTTGTATATTTGTTGTTGGTACCAATGTTTGTCGCTGATCATTCTGCCCTTGATTTATGTTCCAAGTTGTGTTTCTTTGACCCGTTTCTCTCAACCTCATTCCTCTTGTACTGTCTTTCCTTACCCTTTTTAGAGCTTCAGCATATGAAACTCTTTCTGTTATTTTGATTCTTTGAGCTTCTCTGGCTTCCCTTTGTATTTTACATCCACCATATGCTGCACTATGTTCTCCTCCACAATTGCAACATTTGATTTTCGCATCTTTATCACATTTTCCGTATTCATGTGGGCCTCCACATCTTGCACACCTAACTTTACCTTTACATTCTTTTGCAACGTGTCCCATTCTTTGGCAAATAAAACATCTGATGGATCTAGGGATATACTCTCTAACTCTATAGTTCATGTATCCCAATTGGATATTTTCTGGCTTAATATTTTCAAATTGTAGAATCACTGTCATAGTGTCTTTAAGTTCCCCGTCTCTTTTACTTTTAATCCTTATGGCATCTGTTATTTTCCCTCCTTTGATTTCTTTTTTCACATCCTCCATTGTCATTTCTAAAGGAACTCCTGATATTACTCCTCTTAGTCTTGCTAAAGATCCTGGAATATAGGTTTTAATTATTTCCCCCATCAGGGTTTTCATTTTGATTATCTTCTGTTGTTGTGACTCATTAACAGCATGAATTAGCACTCTTCTATTATTTATGATTCTAGCCATTTTAATTTTCCCTATTTCTTCCTCTATTGCTTTGGTCATCTTTATTGGGTGTATAGATCCCCCTTCTTGCTTAAATTCCACTATTACTTTAAATTCCACTTCTGTTTCATCCTGTTCTCTTGAGCTCACCCGTTCGTTTGGGTTTGTCTTTTTGCTAACTTCTGCTCTTGACTCACTTTCTTCCGACCAACTTCTTGTTCTTTCTTGTCTCTTCCTAAGTGTTCTTTTCATTTTTGCTGATCTTGATATCAACCATTCCATCTCGTTTCCACTATTTCCTCCTGATGCCATGCTGCTTCTACAATAAATTGGTATGGTATGGTATGGTACAGTCAATGTACAGCTTATGCGATCCACCAAAATCAAATCCTACCGCTTTCGTTTGTTTAGTACATTCATTCACTTCCTCCTTCCAGCGTCTTCTCAGCCTCGCAAGACCCTGAGTCGAGAGCCACGCCCTGTCCTCGTCATCATTCAGGTCTTTTATAACTACTGGCAATATAAAGTAATTAGCTTGTCTTGATACATCCATCCATCCATCCATTTTCTTTACCCATTTATTCCATTTTGGGTCACGGGGGTCGCTGGTGCCCATGTCCAGCAATCACTGTGCGAGGGGCGGGGTACACCCTGGACAGGTCGCAAGTCCATCACAGGGACACATAGAGACAAACGAGACAAACAACCATTCACTCTCTCACTCACACCTAGGGACAATTTAGAGTTACCAATCAGCCTAACATGCATGTTTTTGGTCTGTGGGAGGAAACTGGAGTACCCGGAGAAAACCCACGCATGCACAGAGAGAACATGCAAACTCCACCCAGAAAGGCCCCTGGACCAGGGTTTGAACCAGGGACCTGCTCGCTGAGAGGCAGCAGCTCTACCAGTTGCGCCACCGTGCTGCCCTACAGTAAACATCACAGTCTTTAATGTCCTGTATTTTTGACAGGCACCACCAGCTGGAGCCAAAGTCCTTGTGTGTTTTACACACGTGGCCAATAAATCTGATTCTGATAAACCACAAATACTGCCCAGATTCAGACAAGATGTTCACAAAATTGTGATTAACAAACTTCAAACAGTATTTTAATTCACACCCACTCATTTGACTTCATAATTTCAGTGTTAACTAAAATATATTTTTGAGTTCAGAGTCCATCCTGCTAAATTACAGTACGTACTGTATTTCCTTTATGCTCCCTTCAGGTTCACAGCCTTGCCTCGTAATTTTAACAACCACGCGCACAAACAAAAATAAATTACAGTGTGAGTTTTTAAAATTGATTTATAATTCAAAGCTTTCAAAATTTATATAATAAATACAGAAAGTATATTTAACAACTGAATAATCATTTTTAGTTTTTTTTTTTTCCTGAAGTTGATACGAAATTAAATATTACACGATTACATAAAGAGCACAAACGCAGCATAGCCGGTGTCACGTTCAGGTACCCCAGGATGTTTCGTGTTTGGAGAAACTTGACTTTCAGTCGCGCTGCGGCGGATTATTTCTCTCTGAAGCGACCAGTGTTGGCTCTCTGCAGCGACCGAGGAGCTCAGGGCTTGAACCCAAACAGAAAATGTTCTGGAAAACGTTACAATGTTCCGCCGAGCGCAGAGTTCGTGTCGCGGGTGTCCGGGATCCCCACCATGGCCAAGTTACCGTACCAGGACTCGGCTGAGGGCCTGGACGCGGCATTTATTGGTGTTCCGATCGACACCGGGACCTCGAACCGGCCCGGAGC